AGTCCAAACCCGAAGGGTTGAGTACCAAGGGAGCCAATGGTGTAAGTCCTAGTCTGAGTCCCAAGGCCCAAGAACCAGGAGCACCGATGTCTGAGGGCAGGAGAAGATGGATGTCCCAACTCAAGCAGAGAGCAAATTTGCCCTTTCCCGATTTTTTGTTCTGTTCAGGCCCTCAGTGGATTGGATGATACCCACCAGTATTGGTGAAGGTGATCTTCTTTACTCAGGCTACTGAGTCAATCGCTAATCTCTTCCAGGAACACCCTCATAGACATACTCAGAAATGTTTTACCAGCTACCTGGGCATCCTTTAGCCCAGTCAAGTTGATGCATAAAATTAACCATCACAGCTACCATGGAGAAGAGGAGGATGAACTGACTAAGGTCATGGAGATTGATCCAGTATGGAAGTTTGGGTGGGGGGTAAAATGAAACTGTTCTAGTGAGGTTAGGTAGGTAAGTTTATTGACAACAAAGTGGTTGAAGAGATGTACCACAAGATCTAGCCTGGTTAGAAAAGAAAATGAGACCAGAAGGGGCTAATAGACAATGAAAAAAGAGAGATGTGTTGATTTTAAAATATGTATGTAAAATCTTTGATATTCTTCCTTTCAAAGCTACCACCTACTTCCCTTTATCTTGAGTATGGGCTTTACTTAGTGACTCATTTCTAAGTGAATAGAATTTCATTGAAGTGACAACATGTGACATCCAAGATTGAGACCTAAACAGTATTATAGCTTCCTCCTTGCTCTTTCTTTTGGATCACTCATTCTGGAGGAAGCTAGTTCTCATGTCATGAAGATACTTAACCCTATGGAGAGACTCAGGTGGCAAAGAACTGAGGCATACTACTAACAATTATATAAGTGAGTGAGCCATCTTGGAAGTGGATCCTCCAGCCTCAGTCAAACCTTCTGAGAACTGCAGCTCCAGTTGACATCTTGCCAAAAACCTCATGAGAGACCCGGATGCAAAAATCACACAGCTAAGCCACTTCTGAACTCCTGATCCATAGAAACTGTGAGATAATTTTTGTATTTTGTACTGCTAAATTTGGGTTAAATTGTTATGTAGCAATAGATAGCTAATACAGACATCAAGGCCTAGAGATCTTGACGAAACCAAAGAAAAGGTGTGAGCCAAAGAGCATAAAGGATAATAGTTGTTGTCAGGGAAGAGAATATTTGAATTTAAAATTTCAGAGGTGAAATACTTCTCCTAGTGTTAACAAAGTCAAGCTTATGATCATTCTCGTGGATGGCTGAAGTGGAGTGGGAGCAAAGGTCACTGGAGATGAGGATATCTTGTGTCCACAGGAATCTTGTAATTACTAAGGATCACCAAAAACCGTTAGATAAGAGGCCTTATAGAATCCTAGATTGTTGGTGCTAGAAATGACATACCGTTGTAAGTCATTTAGTCCATTTAATTGGACTTGATTAGTTTCTTAAAGCGTGGCGCAAGGAATATCCACATTAGAAACAACTGAAGAACTCTTGTGAAATTTCCTTGCATTAGAACAAATGAATGCTAATATCCAGGGCTGGTATCCTGGAATCTTCATTTTATCAAATTATCTAAGTGATTCTTCTGCACATTAACTTTCAGCACCTCTGATCTAGTTCAACTGCTTTATTTTATAAGACTCCTCTTTTAGAGGCCAAAATCTTGTTTTGATTTTAATACTTTCTTACATAAAGCTGCCTTTTGTGCCCAAAGCAATCAGTAGCAATTGGTAAATCTACAATAATAAATTAAACGATATTTAAATTATATTAAATTAAATATTTCTTTTAAAAAGAAAATTGAAATTCTTTACATATGATCTGGCTTCTGCCTGACTCTTCTAACACTTTCTGCCTCACTCACGATGCTCCAGTAAGTTTGTTCCCACCTCAGAGTTTTTGCACTTGTTCTCTCTGCCTTGATACTCAGATATTCACGTGAGTGGACCTTCTTGTTACTCAAGTCTCAGTTCAAGTGTCTGCTCCTTGAAGAAGTATTCTCTGTCTTCCAATCTAAAGTAACTCCCACCTCAACCCACTCACCCTTTGTAGTATTTATCACTACTCAAAATGACCTTGGTGTTTTTTTTTGTTTTCTTGGTCAAAAATGTACACTTAAGCTCCACCAGACCAGGGACTGTGTTGGTTTTGCTCATTGCTTCATACGCAGCACATAAAACAATGACAGCCTGCGGTGCCCCATGCACAGGAGTGGGAGTAGTCAGACCTGATTGCAGGTAATAAGGGGGTGGATTATCTGCAGAGAACTTAAAATCGATAATTAAAAAACACAAAATCATTCTGCTTTTTATTATCGCCATGCACTAGCAATTCTAAGCAACGTCAGTGATAAAATATTCCTTCCCCTAGAAAACCTTGCTTTGGTCTAAGTTCTAAACAAATTTTGTGGTTACTGTTGAGTTTTAATAATATATATGTAACCTTCAAACTAGCACATTTTGATAACTTATCCTTTAACATTGTATTCTTCATGAATGTTAATTTGGAGAATTCCCAGTTATACAGTAGGTTTCCAAAAACACATTGACTGAGCTACACGCATTCTTTTAGAGCATAAATTCATGAAGTTCTCAAATTGTTGGAGCTCAGCTTTGGTGCAGTTTGTGTCTCCATCCCCTGTGGTACTACATATCCCTGCATTTAAACAGTAGATTAGAAATAAACAGTGATAGCACAGTGAGTGTAAATGCCAGAGGAACTGAACCTGGGTTACTTCAATTCTGCCATCTTATGTGACCACTTGGCTTTTTTATTTGTGTTCAAAATTTAAAACGCTGAAACAAAGTGCAAACTTCGAAGTGTAACTTTTTGTTTGTAAACCATAACTTTTAATTCATACATGAAATATTTTACTGCATTTGAATTTTACCGGTGTGAAACTTTAGATGAGGCTATTGATCAGACAGAAAAATAAGTGCAAACAGCCAGAATTAGCCTTAAGCAATGCACAGTGAAAAGCTAATCTTTAAATTGTTTCTTGAATATTGAGTCACAGAAATTGCGGAGAAGTCATTTACTACGCAACAACAATACAATGTAAGGAAATGGATAGTTACGTAGAAAAAATAATTAAATTTTTTAAAAACAGAGCAGGAGAAACAACAAAAGATGTACGTCTGACATTGCCAGAAGAAACCAAAAGGGCAGTATCTGAAATGCCTTGATCATTTGCACCAAGGAGTGAACACTTGTTCTAAAGCAATGGATCAAACGATGTCCAAGTTCCCTCACATTCATTTTCACTGATTTTTACAGAAAAAGAAATTCTGAAGTTTTTACCAACTATTATAGAAATTTATGGTTAGTATTCTGGTGAAGATATTTTCGTTGAAACGTTCAACTGTGGAAAATTTGAATGCCTCTGGATTTGATCCTGAAGAAACAAAACCATGGATGGTACTGGAATTCATGGAACTTTTGTGAAATAGGATTTTTATGATTCTCTTTCAAACTTATTCACAATTTTAAGACTTCTCCTATTTGTATATCTGTTGCTTCATATGAAATAAACTTTACTAATGTTAAAATTAATTAAAATCTATCAGCTGTGAACAAAGATAGAGCGACAAATATACCTACCCCATCTACTGATGGTGGAAATATTAGATTTTGATGAAGTCATTGACAAATATGCAGCTGTTAAAGCTCAAAAGCAGAAACTGTGATATTATTATTCATTACTGTGGTAGACCACTATGTAGGTATAAATTCTTTCTCCTTTAAAAAATACATTAATGCAATTAGAAAAACATTGACCCACTACTTTTTTCCTTTTTTGTAAGTACTATTTATTTTCTATTTATTTTTATACTGGCATTATTGATAGATATGTAGATATGAAGTTCAATAAAAGCAATATTTCACTCTTGCTTTTATGGCCTTTATTATTAATTTCATCTTTATTTCTTAAAATAATTTTGTCATATAGAGGCGGTGGCTGTTAAAAAATGATCTGCTTCTGGTGTCAAATATGTTAGGTAAGTACTGATGCCTGGTATATAGTTTGCACTTAAATATTTGTTAAATGAATAAATGAATTAATATTGGGTATGTTGATGGGCAGACTATGAGCATCTTCTTTCCTTAGAATCATTCATTGGAGGCCTAGGGGAGATCTTGCTCCTACTGAGAGGTTGCACCTATCCACAGTATATTCTCTTTACAGCACCAAAACGATCCTTTTAAAATTTAACTTAGATCATGCCACATCTTTGCTCAAAATCCTCCATTGACTTCCCATCTTATTAAGAATCAAATCCAAAGTCCATATAGTGGCACAAAAAGTCCCTACACAGTGTGTTATTTCACTCCCTCTGAACTTACCACTCCAGCCACGCTGACCTTTTTCATTGCTGTTCTTTCTGCATGGAATGCTCTTCCCTAAATTTCTTCAGGACTTTTCTCAAATGTCACCTTATCAGAAAGTCTTCCCTTAACCTATCTGAACCAGTAAATTCCCACCCCGTCCCCATACTGTTTTATTTTCCTTCATAGCATTTGGCATTTTGTAACATTTATTTGTCTCTCTTTTCCTCCTGGAACCCTAAGCTCCAAGAGGGAAGCACTATGTTTTGTAACGTACCTTGAACAAGTGCCTGGTGTATAGTAACCTGTTAGTGATATGGTCCTAGAATGTATGAATTTGCTCATGTATCACAGAGATAACATATTCTTTTTGTGACTATATACGTAGTTATTTACTAAAGCAGCTGGACTTGAGTTTTAAATCCTTATCTAGACAAATCACATATGCCTCAACGACGAAAATAATGAAAATTCTGCACCCAGCAAAATAGCTTTCAACTGTTCTCTGGAGAATATTCTGAAAGGCTTTATCAGGAATAGAGGGAGTCAACCGTAAGGATTAACCGTTTCCCGGGAAGACAGCTGACCAACCATAGCAGCTTCCCAAAGCAGCTCTAGGAGGGCGGAGAAAGGGCGGGAGCTAGCAAACAAGGGGCGTAACCGGGCGGGGCTGTCGCGAGGGGAGAAGAGTTGAACTGTTTGTCCCACTCCGCTCGCCGTATGAAAATTTAGGCGGAGAGTGTCACAGATATGGCGGCCGTTAGGGTGAGTAGCAAAACCTTGCTTAGTTTATCCGGGCCTAGATAGCATTCTGGTAACTATAGAAGGAATCCTCGTTGCTTCAGAAGGGAGCCCCCCCGCCCCACCCCAGCAAGAGGCAGGGTCGAGGTGCGGTTGTGAGAGAATTGGCAAGATCAGGGAATCTTTAACATTTGAAACCTCAAGACGCTTGGGGCTTTCGAGTTTCCTTTAGAGTTTCGAGTTTCCTCAGCCTGGGACAGTACTCTCTCTTCAGTACCCTGCGGTTGACTATTTATACAGTGGCACAGTGAAAACTGAGAAACGACTGGGTAAAATGGCCGGCCAGGCCACGAATAGTAGCAGACGTTTGGGTCTTGAGCTGAAACAAAGAAAAGAATCCTGGACATTTGTCTGGGTGTACAGGGCGGGGCCTTATGACCCTTTGAAGAACTTTGTTCAGTCATTTGGGGTGAAGTAGACCAGGATAGAAACGTCTCAGAGTCTTTCTGCAGTGCACGGGTTTGTATTCACTGTTGTTACTCTCCAGGTTTGAACAACAAACCTGTTTCTTTTGAGTTCTGTAATGGGAAAAGGTGCCTTTACTTAGGAATCTGTGTACAGGAAGTGACTCACCTGGCTGCTAGCTGTTTCCTAAGTACGTTTCAATAACAGTAGTCGACAAATATTTAGGAGGTTTTAAGTGTAAAATGCACTGCTTGCAGGAGATAGAAATATAAATAATTCAGTTCAGCCAGTGTTTAAGCTGACTCAGTATCCGTCTTGATTCATCATTCTCACTCTATTTCTACAATTCTGGCTCTCATAATTTGTCTCAGTTATCACAACACCCGTCTAACTGGACTCGCTGCCTCTAGCCTGGCTCTCATGGAATCCATTTTCCTCTGCACTTCCAGAGTATTTCTACTAAAATGCAAATGTGATTATGCCCCTTCCCTACTTAAAAGCCTTTATTGGCAATCCATCTTCTCCCCTCTGGGGTCAGGACCGACTCCTATGTCTAGAATACCCGACTCTGCCTTGGCTTTCCAGCTTGATCGCCTTTCTCTCAGGAACTCTCCTAACATCTGCTCTTTCTCTGTGCCTGAAGTGCCCTTTCCCATCCTCATCTAGTTAGCTCCTATTCATAGTTCATTCATTCATTTAACACATATTTGTGTACTGCCTCCCCATATGCCTAGCACAAAATGCCTTTTATGCCTCTAATTTAAATAACACCTCTTTGTGCTCCCAGAGGACCCTTGGCATACTCTTAACAATAGGACTTATTACACTGTGAATAGTAGACTATTTGCTTGTCTGTTCTACTCTCCTAAACTGTAAGCTACTTGAGGACAGTAATTATAGCATATTAAATTTTGTATCCTTAGTACTTAGTACAGATATGGTTTATATTAGGTACTCAATAAATTCTACATGAATAAATAAGTGCCAGGCAATGAAGATAAAAGAAATTAAGCAGTGGAGATGCAACATTTAACACAAATGACTGTGATTCAGAGTCAGGGAAGTGCCTTGGGACAAGTATGAAGTGATATGAGGGTTCAAAAGAGAGAGCTCACACCTCCTTTAAGAGAATAAAGAAAGACTTCATGGAGGAGGTGCAAAGACAGAAGGAATGGTCAGTGGTAAAAAGCAAACCAGAATAGTCTCTTGTCACTGAAGCATAGAGAAGGAGAGTTGAACAGTCTTTTGAGTTGGCCATTTATAAATCATTAGCTACAAAGCCAGGCACTATGCTAAAATACTTTACATATGTTATTTCACTTAAGTCTCAAGACAACTTTATGTTGTAGATATTATGATCATAGTTTTACAAATGAAAAACTAATGTTTAGGGAAGTCAAGTAAATTGCCCAAAGTCATTATGCTATTAAGAGCTGAGGTGAGATGAAGAGGTATAAGTAAAGTGGTAGAGGGAGAACTTAGATTATAGGATTAAGGGGAGGATAAGTGGTGGGAAACTGGCATTCATTTAGCACCTACTTTGGCTAGCTGCTTTACATATATTATTTCAGTTTAATCCTTTTAATGACCTTAAGAAATGGATAGTATCCTCATTGTACGTGTGAAAAAACTGAGGCTTAGAAAAAGTACTTGCTCCGGGTCATACAGCTGCTAAGTGGAAAAGCCAGGTTCCAACACAGGTATATTTGCCTCCAAAGTCCATGATCTTTCCAGTACTCCTTGCTGCCTCTGAAAGGGAAGTGTATATTACTCTTTAGAGAAGCATGTGGTGAAAGAAAGGAAGGAAATCTTCGGATGGGGGTAGCAAATTCTAGAAAAGGTATCTTTTCATTAAAAAAAGTTAGAAGACTCTATGTCAATTATGTCTCAATAAAACTGGAAAAAAAGATCAGGACACCTGAACAGGTTTGGAGACAAGGGGAAATGTGTCAAGAACTAGTATAAAGGAAAGATAACAATAGTAATCACAGCTATTATGTTATTGAACATTTACTCTGTTAGGCATTTTGCTAAGCACTTCATGTGAATTTTCTCATTTATACTTTACAGTGGCCCTATGAGTAGGTACTGTTATTATCAGTATTTTATAGGTGAAGCAACTGAAGCTTAGAAAGGTTGAGTAAGTTGCCCACAGTCACACAGTAGTAAGCAGCAGAGCTGGATTCACATGATCTGAGTCTAGATCCTGGGGCTTGAACTTGAGGAAGCATCTGTGAGGCCAAGGTACCAAAAGGGTGATCTCTGCGAATTTTGAAGCCCCAGAGTTTAATAACAAGGAGAAAGGTAGAGAGGAGTCCTGAAGGTTGGTAGATAACTCTGAAAATAGTTATATACATCTTGAAATATAAGAACTTATTGAGCAGATGTGATGGTGGAACACTGATGTGGAATTAGCCTTGAGAAACAAGGCCTGTGCTGATTTCTCCTGACTTCTTGAATCAGAGAGAATGGCTGGAGGACTGGCCTTCATTTAAAAGGATTGGGAGGAATGTAGTAGTGTCAAACAAGAGCCAAATTTCATTAATGCCACAAGTTGAGTGAATTTGAGGAAAATTTGGGTCCTGAAAGACAATTTGTCTATAATAGAATACTTAATATCAAAATGTGGCTACCATTCCTATATGTCAGACACTGTGCTAAGCTGTTGATTCACATTTCATTTAGTTCTCACAAACAGTTTTCTTTTTTTTTTTTTTATTTTATTTTATTTTTTTTTAATTTTTTGTTTATTGCAGTAACATTGGTTTATAACATTGTAAAAATTTCAGGTGTACATCATTGTACTTCTATTTCTGCATGGACCACATCATGTTCACCACCAAAATACTAATTACAACCCATCACCACACACATGCACCGAATTATCCCTTTCACCCTCCTCCCTCCCCCCTCCCCTCTGGCAACCACCAATCCAATCTCTGTCCCTATGTATCCGTCCATTGTTGTCACTATCTACTACTTAATGAAGGAAATCATACGGTATTTGACCTTCTCCCTCTGACTTATTTCACTTTGCATTATACGCTCAATGTCCATCCATGTTGTCACAAATGGCTGGATTTCGTCGTTTCTTATGGCTGAGTAGTATTCCATTGTGTATATATACCACAGCTTCTTTATCCATTTGTCAACAGTTTTCTAAAGTAGGTAATTTTATCAGCTTGAAGAACAGGAGTAGAGCAGTAAGGAAATCAAAGCTGCAATAGGAGGTTGTAGTAAGAGAAAAGCTTGCTGAGTTTATGATTTTAGTTGTTAACATTAAGTTCTGGGTAATGGTAAATTCAGGGTGTACTCCTTGAGTAGGTAGCCACAGGGGAGTGAATATGAAGGTAGATGCAGGTGAGGTCAAAGGACAGTGAGGTGAGACTTTTGGGTTTTTCATCCACACAGACATTAAAGTTACTCAGAGTTATGGCAAAATTTAGAGTGTAGAAGACGACTATTACTGCAGATCCTAAATCTTCGATGTGATGAAGTGACCAGGAGGCAGGTAGATTATAGTGCTAAGGTTGAATACATGGATGATATGAGCCACTAAGGAGCAGAATTACTTTTCTTTCCTTTATGTAAATTTTTTATTGAAATATAGCATACACAGATCATGAACAGATAGGTAAATTTTTACAAAATGATCATACTTGTTCAACCAGCACCCAAATTAAAAAAAAATAGAGCATTACTAGCAGCCCAGAAGCTCTCCCCTTTGTCCCCCAATGTAGTTGTCCTCCACCATAGATTAATTTTGCCTATGTTTAAACTTCATATAGATGGGATTATACAGTATTTACTCTAAGTCTGGCTTCTTTCACCCAACATTATGTTTCTGAGATTCAGCTATTATGCACATAACACTAGTTCATTCATTCCTATTGCTGTATGATATTCCAGAACGTGAATATATCATGATTTATTTATCCATTCTACTGTTGATGGACATTTGAATTATTTTCAGTTTTGAGCTATTACACATAATGTTCCTATGAACATTCTTGTATGTCTTTTTGGTGCACACAAGTGCACGTTTCTGTTGAGTATATACCTAGGAATGGGATCGCCAGGTCATAGGGCATGCAGCTTTGGTAGATACTGCCAAATAGTTTTCCAAAGTGGTTAGACCAATTTGTATTTCCATTTGTGAGGATTCCAGTTGTTCCACCTTGTCACGAGCAAGAACAGAGATTTTTACATAAGGATGGAGGAGTAATGGCTTAGAAGCAGCATTGAGAATCAGGAAGAAGACAAATTCTACCTCCTGTCCCTGAGACACTTTGAATAGCCTACACCTGAGGGTTACAAAGGAAGCAGTGACCTCAGGGGACAGTCATGTTTCATTTCAGGCAAGGAGAGGGGAGGGTAGACACAATGGAACGGTTTTCGGGGTTTGGGGAAGTAGCAGGAAGTTTGGTCAGTGGAGAGAAAATACAGAGCACTGTAGGAATTAGAATACAGGAGATGATACATGACTCTGAGATTATGTTTTGGGGCTTGGGCCGAGGATGATGGAGCTGGGAAGGAATATGGGCATTATAGGCCTTAAG